TGCTTGTGCCTGCCCGGCCCGGCTGCAGCCTTGGGAAATGAACATGAGTCTGCCAGGCCGTGTCACCTGCTCCATGCTCAACTGCTTTGTAAGTGATGCTCTTTCCTCTCCCCTTCTTCCCCTCCCTGCGCGGGGCTGGGTGCCAGCTGCTCTCTCCAGCTCCCATGCTGAGCTGCCTGTCCCAGATCCGGCCTGTCCTTGCAGCCAGGCTGTGTGGGGATCCTCCTGCCCTGGATCCCCGGCCTGCAGTGCAGCCCCCACTGCAAAAGGGCATCCCCTGCCCCCCCTCCCCCACGCAGCCAAAGGATGCTGTGACCTCTGTCACTGCTGTGCTGCTGCCCTCCCTGGGCTCAAGGGCATGACAGCCCCCAGCACCGTGGGCTGGGTCAGGCAGAAGCCCTGGTGAGCATGCTGTGCCGTGCAGGCTCCGACTGGTCCTTGCCTGGAGCTGGAAAACTGCCATGTGAGAGCAGCTGAGCCCAGGGGAGCTCTGCAGTCCTGCCACAGCTGCCCTGTGCAAGGCAGGGCTGTGCAGGACCCCTCCTGTGCTGATGCTGTCAGGATGGGTTGTAGTGGGAGGGGTCCTGATCTCTGCATCTTTTGTACCTTTGGGGAAAGGAGTTGTTCTTGCTCAGAGATCTGATGCCCCTTCCTGCAGAAGGACCCCCAGAAGGACATGTGGCCAAACAGGCCCTGAGTGCTTCAGAAGATGGCTGGATCCTGAGTCCTCCACCCTGCTAGTGCCCCAGGACCGGGCTGGCAGGAAGAGATACTCAGCTTCCTGCCCATCCCATGCTGCAGGCAAGGAGGGACTCAAGGGCACCCAGGCGGTGGGGAGCTCAGGCTACCCTGTTCCAGTTCCTGCTTCTCACTGGGATTTCTTCCTGAGATGCAAAGTGGTGATGGGAGGGGAGGGTATCTCAGCTCCCACACCAGCACACAGTCACACACCTTTTCTTTGTGCTCTCCTGGACTGGCACCTCAGCTGCTGGCCAGAGAAGCCCCTGAGCCCCCTTTGGCCTCCAGTAAACGGTGGCTTCTGGAGCACAGGCTGTGTCCCTGGCAGCCTTCACACAGGGACCTGGTGAGTGGGCAAGGGGCAGTGCCTGTGCTTCCAGCTGAGGTTGATACAGAGTTTTCTGCTCACTATGAGCTGTATGTGCACAGGTACCTCTGCACCCCAGGAGGAGACAGGCTGCCTGGTGGGATCTGGCTGTCCCCACTCTGCTGTCCAGGGAGTGCTTCAGGTACCTGTATGTGCTGAGGCTTGGGTAGCTGTCAGCAACATCAATATAACTGAGCAAAAAGAGTCTAGGTTCCATTTCTTCACGTCAAAATTTGATGTTCTGGCTCAGATGACAACAAAAAAGATATTTAATTTTACAAGAGAATTTCCTAATAAATGCTGCAGCCTAGAGGAGCTGTAGTTAGAAAGCAAGAGGCATTCTGAAGAAAATATTCCCACACTGAATAGCCGTGGAATTAACACCATCCTGGTCTCCCAGAAGAGGTGCATCCTCAGGTGAATATCTGGACGCTGCTCATTCATGTAGCCAGTCAGTGGTTTGGTACACTGTTGGGCAAGCTGGTGAAAAGAGAACCAAGATCTAGTGAGTGACTGAGGATTCACAGGTTCCAGGCTGAGACATTCCCTCCACTTCTTCAGGGGTGGCGTGTCCAGGCTCCATGTATCCTCTCAGACCACTTCTCCATGGGCTAATTAGGGTTTGCATCTGAGCAGGTTTGACACATTCAGCTGCCCTGAGGACCAATGCCCTGCTTGGCTGCTGCCACAAATATGTTGTGAATTTCCTGTGCAGGGAAGCTGTTGTTACAGGGCTACATTTCACACTTGTGTACTCCCTTCAAAAAGCTTCAGGTTCTTCTAAGATTTCTTTGGGCTAAGAGTGAAAATGAAAACTCTCAAAAGAAAGTAGTCCTTAAGAACATAAGAAGGGAAAGGGTAGTCCAAAGCTGAACTTTGGATGGGAACTGTGTCATGGTGTTTCTGCTGTGGTGCCAGAGTGAAGGTACTGGGGTAACATTTGAGGTGACAAATTCCTGTTACATCAGTCCAAGATCCTGTGCATGCTCGAGGTGTTTCTGCTTTGCTTTCCAAGTACCACACAGTTGGAAGAGATGGGACTTGGAGACCTGCCTGGGGCTTTCACTGTGCTGTGGGTATCCTGCAACAGCCAGGGGAACTGCTGGGGTCCTACAATGCCAGAGGATGGTCCCGAGGCAGAACTGACATTTCCATGCACAGGTTCATGGGATCTCCAGGGTACTGGAGTGCTGGGAGTATCCAACAGCTTAGATTTTTGTTTTTTTTTTCATAACATTTGCTGGCTGGGGCCTATCTCAATGTGTGCTTTGTTTGCAACACAGGGTGAGGAAGGCCCACCCAGTTTGGAGTATATCCAGGCCAAGGACTTGTTCCCCCCGAAAGAGCTTGTGAAAGAGGAAGAGTCACTGCAGGTAAGGAAGTAAGAAAACTGAAACCATCCACTTCAGGCTGTGGGAGGCTTGACTTGGGTTTTCCAGGTTACGGGAGTGCGGGGATTATCCAACAGCTTAGATTTTTGTTTTTTTTTTCATAACATTTGCTGGCTGGGGCCTATCTCAATGTGTGCTTTGTTTGCAACACAGGGTGAGGAAGGCCCACCCAGTTTGGAGTATATCCAGGCCAAGGACTTGTTCCCCCCGAAAGAGCTTGTGAAAGAGGAAGAGTCACTGCAGGTAAGGAAGTAAGAAAACTGAAACCATCCACTTCAGGCTGTGGGAGGCTTGACTCTGGTGGTGTGAAACCTGAGAGCAGTTCTCCAGCCCAGGACATGTTCTGGAGGCTGCAGGCTGGCCAGGGCTAAGGTCACTTTGGGACCAGCATGTCCTTCCACATGCGTGAAGGCTGCTGAGGACAGTTCTGTGCCCTGGCCCTGCCTCCCTAGCCCTGCCACGATGCCTGTACAGAGTCACATCTGCTGCTTGGAAACGTGGCTGGAGCATGATGCAGTGCAGAGCAGTCCTGAGTATTCCCTATCCTCTGTCTGTGCTGACAGAGAAATAATGACACTGCCTTCATAGTTCTGTGCAACAGGTAGCTGGGACAGGTCACTTATCAATTACAATTGCAATGGCTGATCCAACCCCAATATACATTCCTCCTGGAATTTCCCTGCTGCAAAGCTATTGGGAAGAAAAATCTCCATGAGGTGCCTCTTACTGCAGAAGGCCCTTGAAAGAGACCCAGGCATGGCTGCTGCTGTGCAGCAAGGGCAGTGTTCTGAACGGGCAGAGCCAAAGCATCCTGGGGTGTATTGCTTAACACTGCCACCTTGTTCCAGTGTTTGTCATCCTCTTCCTGTGGCTGGAGCCTCATGCTGAGTGTATCCACTTCTGCAGTATTTGTGTTTGTTCTGTGATTGGCATCATCTTAGTAAATGGTGCTGATAAAAACAAGGGCTGAAATGTGGCAACAGGAGGCTGGACTTAAAAGAGCAAACATGGGCTGCACAGGGTCAAGGCTGCAGAGCTGCAGCCTTTGAGAAGTGAAGGTACTGTGATGACTGAGCTGAGACCACTTGGAGAAGAGCAGAATCTGCTTTAGTCTTCTGCATGGAGGACTGTAAAGTTCACCCTTGCCAAAGGGTAATCTGCATCCAGTGAATTGTTATTCTCTTAGTGTAAAGTGAAGCTGTATTCAGGCACATGTAGTTTTATCCCAGGGTTTCCCTCTGTCAGTTCTTGCAGTTTTACCATCCCTTTCTAATCTGTTTCCCTTCTGTTGCTGTGTGAAAGAGCCACGTAAGCAGAAAAAACACATGCCAACTAAAAACAGATCTGCAAGTGTGCATAAGTACCCTGCTGAAATAAAGAGTATATTACCTTCATGTCAAATAATCAACATTTTAAGATTTTTCAGACAGATGCCAATCTAAGGTTGTTATTTTTTCACAAGTAACTTCAGGAGAAGTTGTTAGTGCAATTGTCACTTGCACATGAGGTCTGATATCCAGGAAATTAAAATTTTGGGCAGAATATAACCAAGCCATAGAAACAGCTTGGAAATAAAGATAAGGTGGTCTGACTTGTACTAATTATAGTGTAATTTTTTCATCAGATATCCTGTCTGGCAGGTAAAGAGCTTTGGCTGAAATGATAAATCTTCATTACATTTTTGCATAATTGGTTACGAACATCATCTGGTGTAAGTGACATTCAGGAGTCTACTTAGCTAAGGAAGGAGGAGCCTGGTGAATTTTAGGCTGGTATGCTGCCTTTTTTTTTTTTTTTTTTAATGGAAAGAAAGTCAAACTTGGCCGTCTGCCAGGATCTTGTGTGTTAAAAATAGCTACAGTGTGTCTGGGCTGGTAGGAAGAACCAGAAACACTCTTGATTATCTGGATTTTTATTTTTTTTCATCATTCTAATACAGGTAACAATTAGTTTCCTCAGTCGTACAAATAACTGTACATAGAGATTCTCTTGCAACCTTCTCAGTAGAAGCTGGGCAAAGCTTTGATTCATTTGCTTGCCTGGCTTGGTACCACAGAGTCTCACCATGCTGCTCAGAGCCCCCTTCAGTTACATGACACAGCAGAATCAAGTATGTGACACTGTCCTGGGGCAGAGGACTCTGATCACACCAGCCTCTAGCTGAAGCTCTGCAGAACACTCCCCAGCTCATGTCCAGGGTGTGCCTGAGGTTGTCTCCTGTATCACGTTACTTGTGCCATGGCTGCATTTAACATCTGCAAAAGCAGGGACCATAAAGCCCTCTGTCCCCATGCAGCACCCTCGCTGCCAGATGCCCATGGTTGGGGTACATAGCATTTATGGTCACAATTCTCCTCCATGAATAATTATCCTTCAGGAGGCGTACAGTGGCTTCCTTGGAAGAACATGCATCTTGTGGGGCTTGAACACTGGATACCAGTGCTGGTTGGTGGTGTTGCCTGGTCCCAGTGCACAACAAGGACACTGTTGCGAGTGACTTCCCGCAGGAGATGCACTGTGGAGGCAGTAGGAAGGCAGGCTCTTTGCATTTGTGCTGCACAAACTACTCTGCATTGTCTTGAATCAGTGATGCTTTCCTTCCAGGTCCCATTCAGTGTGTTGCAAGGCGAGGGGGTGGAGTATCTTGGCCACGCAAGCGATGCTGTGATTGCCATCTCCAACTACCGGCTGCATATCAAGTTCAAGGATTCTGTGATCAATGTAAGTTTTGATCTGCCTCTTCTTGCAGCCTGAACCATCATCTCTCACAGTGCCTCATGGGGCAGGGGCCACTGGAAACAGATGGGTGACAGAGCCCTGGGACAGGCTACCCAGAGAGGTTGTGGAGTCTCCTCTGGAGACATTCCAAACCCACCTGGACATGTTCCTGTGTGATATGCTCCAGGTGACCCTGCTCTAGGTGACCCCACAGTGGGGTTGGACTGGATGATCTTTCGAGGTCCCTTCTGACCCCTAAGATTCTGGGATTCTGTGAAAGGCATAAACCATATCTGTGGTGTGGAAACTGTGCCTCTTGAAGGATGCTGAGCCTGATACTGTCTCTAGTTACTGCTTATCATGCAGTTGCTGTTCTGCTGTGTTTTGGTGTGTGGATGAGGTTTTCCTTTGGATACTAATTAGGGCTTTTTTTGCCATTCCCTTTAAATTCAAGCATTAAAGTTGACAGTTTTAAGGCTGTTAAGGTCTCTTGCAGGCTAGCTTTAATGAGACTTCTCCCACCTGGAGACTAGCAACTATGAGTCAGACAGTGGGAGCCTGAGGCTTTCTCTCACTGTCTTTACTTGCCATCTTTCATGGCAGGTTTTGTTTGGCTCAGTTAACTGGGCTTGCATGGATGCAGTGTAGCCAGTAACTGGCCCCAGGTGGGAGACGGCTTATGGACAGAATAGTAATTGCTGAAGGAGAGTCTCTGCTGGGTCATGAAGCTTCCTAAACCTTGGAGTAGGTTTGTAGTTTGAACTAGAAAGTTGTGATTGTTGATAGAGTTGTGACTGTGCCTGATGAGCCTCCAGGCAAAGCTGCTACATCTGCTATGTTATGTGGTGTGTTCATGCCCTACATCTGTCCCTCACAGGTGCCTTTGAGGATGATGGAAAGTGTGGAGTGTCGGGATATGTTCCAGCTTCACATCATCTGCAAGGACTCCAAAGTGATCAGGTATCCATTTTATTGCTATATTGTAGATGTCACTTCAGGATAGTTGCCATGATCAGCTCTGATGTCTCCCTCTGTGCTGCTGTTAGAATTAAGCTGTCCATGGCCAAGGTTACTAAGACTTGGTGCTCTGTTCTTTTCCTGGTTGAGTGGAGCAGAACTTCCTGGCTGTGCACCTCAGCTGGATGGATGCACCCCCACTGAGGATGGTTTGCATTTGGGTTTGTAGGTGCCATTTTTCCACCTTTAAGCAGTGCCAGGAATGGCTAAAGAGGCTGACTCGAGCCATTGCCCGACCTGCTAAGCCTGAGGACCTCTTTGCATTTGCCTACCACGCGTGGTGCTTGGGAGTCTGTGTTGATGAAGAGGATCAACATGCACATCTCTGCCGTCCAGGTAAGCTCCTGGCCTGTTTCCTGACTGTTCTTCTCTCCAGAAGTACTGCAGTGCACTTTGAACTGTTGTCCAGAAACTGGTGTCTGACTGTCTTAAGCTCTGCTATAGCCATAGCCCAAGTTCATCTTGCCAAAGGGCATCTTGTGCCTGGCCTAGAGATCCAGCTGATAGTCAGATGGGGCTGGATAGCAAGCACAGTAAATGGAATAATAGTAATAAGTACAATAAGGAACATTCTGAACCAGCAACACATAAGCAGATTTTCCCTTCTTGTAAATGGAGAAGATATTCCATATTTGAATACTCTCATCATTATGATAGAGAGCTCAAGCAGTCTGGACCCTGGATGGTAAACATCATCAGCTTTGAGACAGCATAATTAAGTCCATCTGCATCTCTTCTCTAATACTGCTGTGGCCTTTCCATGATCAGGTCTGTAGAGATGTCTGGCTCATCCTTACACAGGCACAAGTAGAACCTTTGAATGCATAAAGAAGAAACTGGTGCTGGGTTGGTGCCCTCGTGTGGATTGGAAGTTGCACTTCTCGGAACACAAAGTTCACTTGCAGTTGCTTTGTCTTTTAACAGCTTCAGCATGAATAAAAGGGGATTAAAATAAGTGACCAACCTGGCCTTAGACTTAAAATGTGCTGGTATTAGAGGAGGGAAGCAATAGGTTGAATGAAAAGTCCAAACACAAGTTAGGATGGAGGGATGGAGTTGAATAGTATAGCTGAAAGAGATACCAAAAAAGAAACTGATAGAGAAAAGGTGAACTACATGTTCTTATGCTGTCCCAAACACCAGCAGTGAGGAGATATTTGCTATTTCTCCTTTAGGGAAAGTATTATTCTCTAGTATAAATAAACTTCCCTGTAGAAATGGTTTCTTCAGAATATGAATGAAGTTAAGAGCTTTGAAGTATTTGTTGACAACATTTGACACTCAAGCAACAAAGACATCCAGGATTTGTTAGGCAAGGCTGAAACAGGAGAGCAAACTCTGACAGAGCAGCCTGGAAGAAGGAACTGCCTGGAGTGGGTGCTCAGTGCTCCTCTGCCAGGGAGTTTCTGACATCCACTTTGGAAGCTGACTGTCAGAAGGGCAAAGTGGATTAAATTAACCTCCCACTCCACACTGGTGTAGGAGGGTCATTTCCATGTCCCTCTGTGCCCTCAGATTTAAAGGTGATCTGACTTGACAAAATAAGCAGAGGAAACACCATGAGGATCAAATCTTTTTGGCTTCTGAAGCATCATCCCTGCTATCCAGCTGTCCTGTGGTTTCTTTCTAGCCTGTGATAGCTGCTGTGGAGCTGCCACTAACATGTTCAGTTTTCATCAGTTCTGAGTAGCTGTCAGTAAATTCCCTGTGCTCTGCTCTTCTAGGAGACCATGTGAAATACCGGTTTGAGATGGAGCTGCTGAGGATGGGCTTTGACTTGCAGAATGTCTGGCGCGTCTCTGACATCAACAACAATTACAAGTGAGTGGTCACCACCAGGTTCTCCCCACTCTGGCCTTACCTTCTTCCCTTTGCAGTCCCCAGGCAGAGCAGTGATATGAGTCAGATGCCAGGTAATCCTCCTTCCTGGCCTTGATAACCCTCAGGCAGATCAGCATATGACCTAGATCACTTCTTTCTACCTTCTGCATTGTGGAATTGAGGAATTGCAGCCCAAACAGCAGAGCCAGCAGCAATTGTAAATGCTGATGGAGGTAGTTCATAGTGTGGTGGCTGTAACTCATTCTTGAAAACATTTTGGGGTTTTGCAGGCACTGTCCATTTTAGGGTTGCCTTTCTGGTCAGTCACAGAATCATCCTGGTTGGAAGAGAAGATCATCAAGTCCAACCATAACCTAAATCCACCAACCATAACCTAATCTACCTGTTCAGTGCTTAAATCATGTCCCTCAGGACCACATCTCTATTTCGTTGAAACACTTCCAGGGCTGGTGACTCCACCACCTCCCTGGGCAGCCTGTTGCAGTGCCCTGACTTTTTACCAGCTTAGTAGCTCCTCTGAACATGCTCCAGCAACTCAACATCCTTCCTGTAGTGAGAGGCCCAGAACTGCACACAGTGCTGTGGGTGCAGCCTCACCAATGCCCAGCACAGGGGCACTACTCCTGGTGGTCGCACTATTCCTGATGCAGGCCAGGATGTTGATGATCTTCTTGGCCACCAGGGCACACTGCTGGCTCATGTTCAGCCAGCTGTCCACCAGCACTCCCAGGTCCCTCTCCACCATGCAGCTTTCCAGCCACAGTTGTTCTCTCTAAAATGCTCACATTGTTTGAAAAGAAAAATACAAATTTTTCATCAAGACAGACAGCTGTTCAGCTCTGCTGAGAAACTGGGGACAAGCCAGGATGAGTGAGGGCTGTCAGGATGCTCAGAGACAGGGGAATGAGTGAGTTTTGTTCAGTCTGGTTCAGAAGTGGTTAAAGGGTGATCCACTTGCAGCCTACAGCTGTTGGACAGTTACAAAACGGATGGACTGAAACTCTTCTGACAGTGGCAGATAGTTGAACAAGGGGCAATGGCCACAAGTTGCAGGTTGGGAGGTTCAAACTGGGTGTGGAAGGGGCGACTCCCCAGAGGGGTGGGAACTCTCCATCATTACACCATTTCAAGTCTCAGATGATTTAGCAGTGGAGGTCATCACCTGTGAGCAGGAAGTTGGAGTGGAGATCTCTAGGTCTTTCCCACCTGCACATCAGTGATATCAGCCTGTTTTCTGTTCCTGCAGAAGACCACAGTAGCTCCTGGAGAAGCACTTCAGCGCTCTTTGCAGCTGGTAGCATTAAGCCAACAGGATTTTATTAAGCTTTGACAGATGTAGTCATTTCTGCATTTCCTATAATCCTTCTGTAACAACTGGTTTCCTTCAGTCTTTGTCTCAGCCAGTAGAGTCATCTCCATCACCTGTATAACCAAGAGCTCCAGGTCTCCTGTTTTTGTGGAGACCATGAGAAGCTTGGGCAACCTGAGGGATCCCAGGTGACTTCTGCAGTTTGTCTGTTCTCCTCTTTCTTCCTTAGGAGTCCAGGCAGCAAGCACTGGTTTTGAGGTTTGATTTACAGTTCCTGCTTGGTCATCCTGACCACATCATTGATTTTGGACCATTCAGGTTATTTTGATGGTATTTACACTGTTTCTCCAAGAATATAAAAAATGAAATTGTTTTCTCAAACTGCTGAGTTTTGGAGTGTCCAACCTGGAGGTCCCTGCCCTAGGTAGAATCTCTGCACATCTTTGAGAGCAGTCAGGCTTTCTCTGCCTGTGACTATTTAAGAAAGTTCAACTTAGGTTGACCATCTGTGGTTCACTCAGCCGCAATACACAGCAATACAGTAATACAGTAATACACAGCAATTATCAGCTCCTCTAAGGACAGATATTTTGGTTCCAACCAAACCAGGAAAGAAGGAACTTGAAACAAACCTCAGCCTGCTGGATGCAGATCTGGCTTTACTCTATCTGCTGAGCTCCTACCTGGGGATCCTGGCAGGTTGCAGCTTCCTGCAGAAATCAGGAGATCTCAAGAGTGGTGTAATTTGGTTGTGCAACTCAGAAACCAGTTCTCTCTTGCTGCTTTGGGAAGCTTGTCTTTAAATCTTGCCTTGGCTTTTGATCATCACCACCTGCCTCTACTCACAGGAATCTGGTTACTTTTTAACTGTTTATAGTACTTTTATCTTTTCTTTCCCAGCGTTGGCAAAACAGTGTTGTTAGAGACAGGATAGTTCAAGGTGTAATGGCTTTGTTAATTGTCTTTCAAGTCTGTTCTGAGATGCCCTTATCTGGAAACTATTATGTTCCTGGCGACAGTCATAAAATTAGAACAATATCATTGCCACTCCTTTGGTCTTGATAGAAGTATTCTCTTTCAGCCTACAATGATAATAACATTGTTACACATTGTACACTCACTTTTGGTGATCTCTAGACCCAGAATTCTGGCATTCCCCCATATGGGGCACCCATGCTGCCCAAGATGGGAATTTTTTCATATCAACCCTAACGCTGGTGGGTTTGGTGCACATGTAGATCCTCCAAAAAGGTCAGAAACTCTCACCTTTCCTTCAGTGCTGATGCTTGTTTTCAACTTTGATCTTTTTGCAAGTGTGGGGTTTTTTTATCTTCATAAGGAAAAAACTGTCTGGAGTTTAGACAGCTGATGTTTCCTGCTTGATTCTGTGAGTGCTCTGAATTGCCTTCTTTTGTTACAGTTCTCTACCAATTTTAATATTAATTTTTGCTTTCATGGGAAGGGTGTTAATTAGTGTTCCTGCTTGTATTTGCCATGTGTAGACAGTAAGTCTACCAAGGCCCATTAGGGATAAACCCCATGATTTTGCATCCTGTGAGGGAAAATCTCTCCACTGGATTGGCTGCTACCATGGTGGTGAGAAGATGCTTTGTTGGCCCTTGCCTGTAGGTGCAGCTTGTGCCACTGTGTGTGTTTGTGTTGGTATAGCCCACTTTTTTTCTGGGATCAAACATCTTTCAGAAATGTTTCATACTGTGTTCTGGTTCAACGTGGTCCCAGGGGTGTTTCAAGCCAGCCCCCTGTGACCCATGTCTCTTCACTGTTCGCCCCTTTTCCATAAGTGCCACCTGAGTGTATTGAACAGCCCAGGGACAAGTGTGGCTCCCCTTCGGCCTCCCCTTGTGAAAACCGACAGTGGAAGTTCTACCCTGGTTATCTTTTCAAGAGTTACTGTTTCCTAAGAGGAGCTTCCTTCAAGCCTTTAGTGAGCAACATGTAAAAAACCACACACACCAAAATTTAAAAAAAAACCCCTTCTGAAAATCCAAATCCAGGCAGCCCCATGGGCTGTACCTGCTCGTTCAGTGATCATAGAATCATAGGGGTTGGAAGGGACCTCTGAAGATCATCAAGTCCAACCCCCAGGAACACCCAGGGCAGATCACCCAGAAGCATATCCAGACAGGCCTTTAAAGTCTCCAGAGAAGGAGACTCCACAGCCTCTCAGAGCAGCCTGTCCCAGGGCTCCATCACTCTCACAGAAAAGAAGTTTCTCCTCATGTTGAGGTGGAATTTCTGTGTTGTCACTTGGTGCTGTTCCCCCTCGTTCCATCACAGGCACCACTGAACAGAGACTGGCCCATTCTTGGCACTCACCCTGCAGATATTTATAGACATTAATCAGGTCCCCTCTCGGTCTTCACTTCTCAAGACTAAACACCCCCAGGTCTCTCAGCCTTTCCTCCTCAGGCAGGTGTTCCAGTCCCCTCATCATCCTTGTAGCCTCCATTGGACTCTCTATAGCAGATCCCTGTCCCTCTTGAACCAGGGACCCAGAACTGGACACAACACTCCAGATGAGGTCTCATTAGGGCAGAGGGGGAGGAGAACCTCCTGTTACCTGCTTGCCAGAGTGTTCTTAATGATCCCAAGATACTATTGGCTCTCTTGGCCACAAGGGCACATTGCTGTCCCATGGTTAAGTTGTTGTCCATGATGACCCCAAGGTCCTTCTCCATGAGACTGCTTTCTAGCAGGCTAATCCCTAATCTATACTGGTGCATGGTGTTTTTTCTCCTCAGGTGCAGGACTCTACACTTATTGAACCTTGCTGCCCACAAACCTTACACAGTTTACACATCTTGCTTGCACAGGTGGTATGCAAGCTCCCTCCACAGAAGCTGTGTTGAGCCTTCCCAAAGTGTACTCTCTCTACCCTTTCACCAGCTGGAACAGCCAGTTGCTTTGTACAGAAGTCAGACTGAAGTGGTTTCCCATGTTTTCACCCCAGAGACCTTTCTGCACAACTGATACTGTGTTTGCCACCTTTCATTCATCTGGCACCCAAGCCAATGTAAGCAATAGCTTACACACCTTGGTTAATCATTCATGTGGTGCGCATCCGGGTTGCTGCAGAAATACTGAGTGTTACCTAGTCCTGGTGACTAGATACTGCTCATTCCCAGCAGATTGTTCTACATCTTTCCCTGTAGAAGTTTTTGTGTTAAGCTCTTCTTGTCCCTTGTAAAGCAAGATCAGTTCTGGGAGCTTCACTGTGCACTCTTCTGGTGAGGACTAACACAAAGAGTTTTGATTTTCTGCAATGATCTTGCTGGTCTGTCAGACCTTCAGATTTGGTAGCAGGCTGATACCTCCAAGGTGATGGAAAAGGTCTTTGGAGTTTTAATATTTTAACAGGTCATTTCTCAAAACCTGCACAACATGTCTTCTTTTTACTGACAAAGTTTGTTTGTTTGCTTGTTAGATTTTAATTTAGGTGCACAGTTAGTGCAAAGGTTTGCGTCCTTTGGAAATACTGACGGGTGTCCTTTTAATTCCAAAAATCCTTCTTTTGCACACTGCTTAACTCTGTTGGCTCTTTCTGATTTTTTTGATGCTTTAATATAAATAGCACATTTAAATAACCAACATATCATCTGCAAGATTCCCCTGCTCCCCTGTTCTGGAGCTTATTGTTACTGTCATGGGAGCCTTGTGCCCTTTAAAAATACTGTTGAATTCTACAGTGTTATATAATATAGTAAGAAAATGATTTTTTCAGTTATTCTATTTTGGAACAGCTTAGAACCAGAGAAAGAGTTCTGTACTTTTGTATTACTTGGCTGGTAGCACCAAGAAGCAGCTGATGGTGTCTAATTGTCACCTTTGTCCCATATGTTATCCTGGTGCTTATGCATGTTTTGTGGGAGCAGTGCAAGTTTCTCATGGCAATTTCTGCCCTTGCAGCCTTTCTGCATCTCTTCCAGCCTCTTGGATGTTGTTACTGTTGCTCTGGTGGTTGGTACAGTATCTCCAAAGCTCTGCTGTTTCTCTTTAGGCTTGGGGTTTGAATCCATCCACATTCTGCATTGCTTGTTGATGCTGATAACTCTTATCACTAGCTCTACCTGTTTCAGTCTTCCTTCAAAGTTTGTACTCTGAAATGTAGGGTAACACTAGTAATGTTCCTTGTATCAAGTTTCTACGATGCTGTTAAGTAAACATACACAGTTATCCTGGCTTTTCAGCTCCTCTACTTTTATTTTTTTGAGTTCTAGCCTAGAAGCACAGGTTTGTTGGTCTTGACCTCATAGCCTGTTTTTATGTGCCCTGCTTAAATTTGGCTTAACTTCTTGAGGCTGTCCTGTTTCCTATTTGAATTTTATTGAATTCTGTCTCACTGTTTTACTAAGGCTACAGAGGTTTAGAGACTTAACTCTTAGATATGCTCCTGAACCTGTCCTAATTTTTAGTTGGATATCTCCTGTAATGTTTCATCTGAAGTGCCTGGGAACTGATTCTGTTCTCATTTCAATGAAGCCTCAGCTATTCCACAAGTTCTTCCAGATTTTAATAGGTGCCAACCCTCTTCCACATACCTTTATGCTTAGTCACACTTCAATACTTCTCTAATTTCATGACCAGCTTTGCACATGGAATCTTAGGCATTTCAGAGATGCCCAAGACTGGACATCATACCACAGTCATCCTGGTCTTCAGCTTCTCACCTGACAGGTTTAAATTTGCTTCCTGGATTCTCCTTCTGCACCCTCATGTTCTCATCCCAACTTGGCCTTATGTCTGGGGCTTTCTGAGAAGCTGTCTGGACACCACGTGAAGTGCCATCTTCTGACATGGCAGGCAGGCCCACGCTAGCATCACAAACCAGATAGTGCTAAGCACTGTCGTGCCTGTCACCAGCCTCTGGAGCTTGCTGGCTGGATACCCCCATCAGTTTGCCTCCTATCTGCCCTGAAACATTCCTTCTAAATGTTGTGTGTTATGGCCTACAGCTGGACGAGTTCTTTGATGCTCCTTGCGTGCAGGGCTTTGTCTGCCTGAGCTGCTAGAGCTCAGTTGATGCAGCATCCAGGCTTTGTCCCTGCAGCCTGTGACCTGCCCTGCTTGCAGCCCTACACTGTGAGTGGCAGGACAGTACCTGCAGTCTCCAGGAAGTCTTTTACCTGAGCTTCATTTTACTCATATTGCTGTCTCCCCTTCTCCCCAGCACACTGTTTGGCTTTCCCACTCT